TGAGCTAAGTGACCTGATCACTAAGTGTCACCATGGAATCTTGTCAGTTCAGGGAAGGAAGAGTGCACAAAAAAGACTCAGGAAGTAGCCAATTGTTTCCTATTTGGGAGAGGTCAAGAAATGCCAGTATGTTGTGAAATCAGACATTCGCTTCTTCATGTTTCATTTTGCTTAACAGATATTATCCAATAAGTCAGTCAGACACCTCTGTACCCCACTTTCATGCTACTAGCATCCCCATCTCCTGCTGTGCTGCTGTGGCAACCAGATGTGCCCAGGCTCTGTCCAGCTTCACACAGGTACAACCTGCTTGAGTGGCAGCACATGCAACTGAGAAGTAGAGGAGAGCTCTTCATCAAATGAGCTTGGAAGCCAATGCAGGGTAGACACTGCAAGAGAGGGACATAAGCACATGGCAGGATGACTGTGGGTGGATACCAGCCACCTCAGCCCCCACAGCATTGTGTTCAGAGGGCAAAGAAGGACGCTCTGGGGTGGCTTCCAACCAGGGCCATTAAGTGTCCAGTCTTGGAACATGGAACCCACCAACTTCCCCAAGTAGAAAAGGCAGCCACAGGGAGACCAGTTGATGACCTGAGATTCCCAGCATTGGAAAAAATCCAACCTTAGCAGAAACACTACTACTCCACATGCATGCTGCCTTTGCCATCCCATCATCCAAGGACTTAGAGAATATGTCCTCAGATAATGTGCTATTTTCACATGTCTCCCAAGTCTCCAAGGGTTCAGTTATAGGGCAAACAAGGAGATCCACTGGTCCTATCATGCATTGTATCACTCAGAAGCAGTCAGACCAAAACAACACAGGAGTGCTAACGACTTAGCTGAGTGGTCAACAGATATATGCTGGGAATTGAGCTTCAAGAGGCAATCCCTGTTCTGAACCCAAAGCCAACCACAATGCCAGGTCTTTGGTAACTAGTACAGGTGTAACTGGGGAATGAATGCAGTAATAGCCCCACACTGCAGGATTCTCCATGATCTCTGTGTGGTACCCATCCCTGCAACAGGGTTACAGGTCTTGATTGCCAGGAAGGGGAGGAGCATTGCAGATGCATAGTACAGGTTTCACCAAGTCAGGAAGAACCAGAGCCACCATTTGGAAGGAGGGATTAAGCATGATAAATGAACACACATTGAAGAAGGAAAGTGAGGCAAGACTGTCATCATATGCCACATCTCTTCCTGTGGCCCCACCACTTACGTCAGCCAGTGTTTTAGCTGTTAGTCTTCTGAGGCTCATATGAAGGCTCAGGCAAGAGTCTTGCCTTAGGCCCATACTTCATGACCCTGTGTTGAGGATTCTCCAAGACACCTGTAAGAACACATTTACGGGCTGGTGCAGTGGCTCAGCATGATAATCCTCCACTCTGTGGCACTGGCATCCCTTTTGGGTACTAGTTTATGTTACAGCTGCTCCACTTCCCATCCAATCCCCCTGCTTATGGCCTGGGAAAGCAGAAGAAGATGGCTCAAGTGCTTGAGACCTTGCACCCACGAGGGAGACCTGGAAGAAGCTGCTGGCTCCTGGCTTTGGATTAGTTTAGTTGTCGCCATTTGGAGAGTGAATCAATGGATAGAAGATCTCTGTCTCTGTAAAATGTGCCTTTCAAATAAAAATACCCCCTCCCAAAGAACATTTTTAACACACACACATGAGCAATGCAGAAGCTTGTTGAGCAATAAGAGGTTGTTCCTGTTAGTCACTGCCCAAAGCTCAGGGACACCAAACCACATCTGTGTCACACTCACCAAAGCTATGGGTCAGCAGTTCCTGGGGGCAACACAGGGATAACCTGTATCTGCTCCAGCATGCCTGGACCCCAGCTAGGAAGACAGACAATATCACATGAGTCCGATGACTGGAAGCATCTAGACCAGTGCTGTCCAAGAGAAGTACAATGCAAGGCATATGGGTAGTTTTGAATCCACATTTGTTACGTTTAAAAAGTAAAAAGAGGAGCCGGTATTGTGATACAGTAGATAAAACCACTGCTCAGGCCTTGCACACCCACATGGGGGACCCGGATAAAAGTCCTGGCTCCTGGCTTCAGCCTGGCTTAGCCCGGGACTTGGTGGTCATCTGGGGAGTGAATCAGCAGATGAAAAATCTATCTCTTCCTGTCTTTCCCTGTCTCTCTGTGGCTCTGAATTTCAACTAAATAATTTTTTAAGGAAAAATACACAGGTTAAATTTTTTTAACATTTAATTCTATGTACTCAAACTATGATCATTTCAGTATGTGATCAACATAAATTAAAATATTTTACACTGGGAGGGCAGGTACTAGAGCTTTGAAATCTAGCATGTAGTTTCTACTTTCTGTACATCTGAATTCATTTTTTTAAATATTTATATTTCTAGAGCCGGTCCTGTGGCATGGTAGGTTAAGCTTCCACTTGTAGTACTAGCATCCCAACAGGCACCAATTTAAGTCCTGGCTGCTCTACCTCCATGCTGGTGTTTTGGGGAAAGCAGTGGAGGATTGCCCAAGTTCTTGGTCACCTTCACCATGTAGGAGACCCAGAAGAAGCTCATGGCTTTGGACCAGCCTAGCTCTGGCCATTGTGGCCATGTGGGGAAGGAGCTAGTGGATAGACAATGTCTCTCTATCTCTCCTTCTCTCTGTAAAATCCATCTTTTAAATAATAAATATATTTATCTATTTTAAATTTTATATATATATATATGTATGTATGTATTTGAAGACAGAATTACAGAAAGAGAAAGGGAGATAGAGATCTTCCATCTACTGGCTCCCTCCCCAAATTGCCACAACAGCCAGGTAAAACCTGAAGCATAAAATTCCTTCCAGATCTCACACTTGGGTAGCAGAAGCCCAAGCACTTGGATCATCATTTGCTGCTTTCCCAGGTATATTGATGAGAAGCTGGATGGAAAGTGGAGCACCTGGGACTAGAATTGGCACTCAGATATGAGATGGCAACATCATGCATGGTGGCTTAATTTGTTGCTCCGCAAATTGGCCCCAGCACATCTGAATTTAGACTAGCCTTTTGAAAGCACTCAGGAGCTACACATGGCCAATAGTTGTTGCCTTACTGGACAATGCCAAATCCAAGACAGAGAAAGCTATACTCACTTGGAACTGTCTACCAGAATACGTGCATGTGGTTTGGGCTTCCTCACAGCATGGCAGCCTCCAGGCAGCCAGCCTTCTTACATGCAAGGTCAGGTCCAGTGGTCAAAATTGAATCCACAGTTTCTCACAATCTGGCTGCAGAGATCTCATGGCCTATTCTGTCAGCTGGATCAAGCAGAAGTCACAGTTTCAAGGGAAGAACACTAATACTCTTTTGCCCAATGAGAAGCATGCCAAATAATTTGTGGCCATATTTTTAAAGTACCGCGGAGATGGTAGCCAGGAAAAAAAATGTTTCCTCTTTATCCTCCCAAGATGTATTTCAAAACATTCTTCCAGAAAAAAAAAAAAAAGCAGAATCAAACCTCAAGTTTCCTAACCGGTTTTGTCCTTCACTCTGGCTCACTAGGATCCGTGTCAAGCTAACTAGCAGCACCCAGTAGTTTTCATGTTCTGACTCAAATGGAACCTGAATGAAAATAAGATCCTTCTTGGGTCTGGTGTGATAGCATAGTGGTTAAAGTCCTCTCCTTGAATGCACCAAGATTCCATTGGGTGCCCGTTCTAATCCTGGCAGCCCCGCTTCCCATTCAACTTCCTGCCTGTGGCCTGGGAATGCAGTCAAGGACAGGCCAAAGCTTTGGGACTCTGCACCCACGTGGGAGACCTGAGAGAGGCTCTGGGCTCCTGGCTTCAGATTGACTCAGCTCCAGCCCTTGTGGCTGCTTAGGGAATGAACCATTGGATGGAAGCTCTTCCCCCCGTCTCTCCTCCTCTCTGCATATCTGCCTTTCCAATAAAATTTTTTAAAAAAAGAAAGAAAATAAGACCCTTCCAAATTCAAACCTCTAGAAAAACAATAGTGAACAGACACAGAAATCCCCATGCTCATGAAACTGATGTTCTGGTAGGAGAGGTATACAGCAAATGGCTAAGAGATAATATATGAAATGCAGCAAATAATGTTAAGCACATAGGACAAAAATAAAGACAAGATATTTGGGCAGGGAGAGTTGATAACTTTAGATAGAATGTCCAGGGAAAGGCTCACTGGGCACTTGAATCCAGGCCCAAGGAGGTAAGGAGGTAAGGCCTGTAGACACCTAGAAGAAGAAACTCAGGCTGAGGGCCCAGAAGGGCATAGACCAGAGTAAAGTGGGAGTCACAGGATGGAGAAGGAGTCCCTGGGATCCGGATTCCTTAGATCCCTGAAGCTGAGTCCAAGGGCTGGGCTTGGCTCCGAGCAGATGGGGCAGGCTAGAACACTGCTTGGATGCTCCCAGTATTAGTTCTTCCCCTTCCTGGCCCTTTACATCTCTTTCCCAGCTGTTCCTGGGTTGTGTCCATTATAATGACCAGTTAGGTAGCTAGTAAACTCTTTCCCATATTCTGTCAGCCATTCCAGCCAATGATCAAACCCAATGGGAGAGGGGTGTAGGATTGTGATACACAGCCAAGTCAACTTGAAGTCACAGTTAGTTGGAGACCCACCACCTATGATCGGCAGCTGCTGCAGACAGAGGCCAGCTGTTTTGTGGGACTGAGCATCTCCATGATGGGTTCTGCACCGACTTCAGGTAATATTGGTTATGAAGCTGTGAGAGTGGTAAGAGGTGAAGGAGTCTACAGAAACCTAGAAACTTGAAGGGAGTTCATTGCTGAAGAAAAGGACCCCTGAGATTCAGAAGAACAGTGAGTCTCCCAGAGGTGGCATCCTTCTTAACACACCCCTGCTGTGCTCAGCAGGGCAGTACAGGAAGCCCACAGGGATGGTCCAAAGCCGTGTTCAACCTCAACTTCCTGTTGCTTTCTCTACTTTCTTCCCTCTTTTAGAAATAGAGCGCTGACTACCACATGGCCCCAAAAGAACATTCTAACTTCTGCTCTGTGACTTCCTGATCCTCTTCTTATAAACGCAATGGCAGGGCTGGGGACCTGGGGAGTCAGGGATCAGGGTGACCAGCAGTCCTCAGACCAGCTCTCCCTGCCCATTGGAGGATGAAGCTCTCCATGACTGCCCTCTCCCTCCTAATCCTTGCGACTGCCCTTGGAGCACAGGCCCGGGTCATTCATGGTAAGTCCGTGAGGCTTCTATCCCATGAGGTTCCTGGCAGCACATAGAGGAGGAGACGCACAGGGACAGCAACCCAGCACCTGTGCTCCAACCTACCAGACCAGAAAACTTACTTAAAAGCAAGGTAAGGGTAGGTGCCTTTGTTTGAAGACTTTTGATCCTTGGGAAAATTGGATACAGATGATTGGTCCCCATTTGGGGACAACTAGTTCCCTGTTCATGGTCAAAAAATTTTACTTAGCAGGCACTAGCCTATTAATTGCCAGATCAAAATAAATATAGCAAAACTGTAATTGTGTAGAAAAAAGCTCATAGAACTGTGTGAGGTTAGAACTGTTACAATTTACTACAAAACTATCATTAGGGGGAGAAGTGAGATCACCTGGCAATGACTCAACAGAACTCATTTAAACATGCTGTTTGTTTTTCGAAGATTTATCTATTTCACTAAAATGTAGAGGAACAGAGAGATCTTCTATCCACTGGTTCACTCCCCAGATGGCAGCAATAGCCAGGGTGAGGCCAAGCCTAAGCCAGGTCTATGATGTGAGAGGCAGAAACGCATGCACTTGAGTGACTAACATCACAGGCAGAGGTTCAACTACATCGTGATGCTTGCCTGGTCATTCCATTCATTATCTAGCAAATGTGTATCTCCTACTATTTTAAGAGCCTTATAGATTATTTTAGATGCAATTTTGTAGGATATGAGTACTTTTATCTAGGTTTGTGCATATTATCAATTTCCTTTTACAAATGCAAAAAAAAAGCTGCATAGATACTTTAGATCACTTACTTAACATCACACAGCTAACATGTAGTAGAAGTAGGATGTGAGCCAGGTAGAAAGTTATTGATGAGGGGCTGTGTCACAGCACAGGGAGTCCTGATGGGTTTCCACTTCAGATCCAGATCCCTGTCAATGCACGTGGGAGGGCATGGGAAGATGGCCCAAGTGTGTTGGCCCTGCTGCACACATGGGACAGCAGGATAGAGTTCCAAGCTCCTGGTTTCAAACTGACACAGCACTGGCTACTATAGTCATTTGGGGAACTGAACCAGTGGATGGAAGTTCTCTTCCCCTCACTCTCTCTTGCTCTGTCTTTAAGAAATAAGCCTTTTTTAAGAATTAAAATGGCATTTTTAAAAAGAGAAAGTAGTTATACAAAGAGAGGGCCATTTCAGATATATGCATATATATTTGCAAATTCCACTTGTATAACATCAAGCACACCCTTATTAAAGGGTTGCCAGGAGGCTCATTAAGGGTAATTCACATGTAATTATGCAAGAAGTTACACATCAGAAATGAATCAGCAATAATGGAAATCAATGATGAGAGGAAGTTGGCATCTGAACTCTTCATTGCCACAATCCAACTTATGCTTCAATATAAAAATGTCAATTTAAAAGCTATCCCAATATGTAGTCAGTTGTGGAAATAGCTATTTTTAAAACGAAAGTGCAAGGGAAAGGGAAAGAGGGAGAGAAAAAAGGAGGGAAGGATTGAAGGAAGGAAACAGAGGGAGGGAGGAAAGAAAGGCAAGCAAACTGAAAGTTACACTTGCCTAATTAACAGTTAATCAATTCATATTAAGCATTAATATTAATTTGAAATTCTGTTATACCTTATGCAAAACCTCTGAGGCTAGTGTAGAATTTTTCAGGTTTTAAAAAGTTGATATGACATAATCCAGCAATTCACTGCTTAGTTATAGCTAAGAATTAAAATTGAACCACAGTGGCTCATTGGTGACATTTAGATGTTACTTAGGATAGGCGCATCACCTACCAAGTGCCTGGATTCAAGTCCTGGCTCCACTTCCAATTGCAGCATCCTCTTGATGTGTACTGTGACAGGCAGCAGGTGATAAATCAGCCCTTGGGTTCCTATGCATTTGGAGACCTGGATTAAGTTCAACACTCTTGCCTTTGGTCTAGCCATCCCAGCTGTTAGAGGCAATTTGGAAACAGATTAAATAAAACATATTGTTTCAAAAAAGAATTGAAAGTCAGTATATGAGAAGATTTTTGTGCAACCATGTTCACAGCAGCAAGATTCATGAAAGCCAAAAGGTGAAGCAACTCAAATGTTCCAACGGATGGACAGACAAGCATCACATGGGGCACACATTCAATAACTCATACTCAGCCTAAGAGGAAGGACATCCTGACACTTGCTACAATACAGATGAACACCAAAGATATTACGCTAAGTAGAATAAGCCAATCACAAATGGACAAAACTGTATGATCCCATTCAATTGACGGAATTGGAGTAGCCAATTCAAGGTCAGAGCTAACAAGGTGTTGAGACCAGCTGTGAGGAGGAGGACAGATAGTTAGTGTTTAATACATGCAGAGTTTCAATTCTGCAAGGTGAACAAAAGTTCCACAAATGTACATTAGTAATACTTGTACAAACTTATGAATGTATTGAATGATCCTGAACTGTCAATACGTAAGAGATTAAAAGAGAGAATTCTATGTTATATATTTTTTTCTATAACATGTAAACATAATGTTTCAACAAAGGTCATATGTACCTGGATGTTACTCATCCTTTTCAGGTCGTGGAAGCATATTTCAGTCCAACTCAGCAATATTCCTACAGCAAACATATGCAAAGTTTCACAGGACCTGAAATAAAGAAAGACAGAAACAGCCTCAGTTCTCTCTGGGTGACACTATCCTGATGACACTGTGTGGTCAAAAACCTTTATTTTCATACGTCTGTGAATAACAACATGTGTAGAGACACTGTAGATTGCATCACGTGCTGTAGATGGCCCAATGGCACATCAGTGTTAGATCTGCAGTCTGTTTTTGGAGAATTTCAGGGTCGACACATGCTTTCATCTCACAAACATTCCTAAAGTCCCTGAAGACTCTCAGATGCCTAGCAGGACAAAAAGGTATGAGTACAGACATTGAACCCAGAGGGGACTTAGGGTTCCTTTGCAGGGACTCTCGGCCTCAGGCTGGGGGTGAGTATAGACTGAGACACTGCTGTCTCCTAGCAAGTTCTCCCCAAACCCTGTCTCTTTCTTCCAGATGCAGAGACAAGAGAGCTCGCTATGGAAGTGCTTTGGCCTGACAGGAACAGAATCCTCAGTAAGTGATGGAAGTGGGTGGGTACAGATTTGCGCTCTGGTTCCATCCACCTTATGTATAGGAGAGGAACCATGAGATAGCAGACCACCTCTAGGGAAGAACTTGAGGGGCCATGGGCACATTTTCTCCAGGTGCCTACTAACTCACTGGGGCTGGCCCGAGAGCTTCCCCAAGTTTGTCTCTGCAGCCTACACGCTTCTGTGATGCCTTTCCCATTCCAGAAAATACCCTAGTTCTTGAGCTTGGAAGAAAATAAAAACAGGAAATAACAGAAAGTGCAGGCCCAGGAGGAAATATTCCTCCTCCTAAAATCTAACCCAAGAAATGGACAGGCCTCTTGAGAAACAGACTTGGCCACCGAGTGACACTTTATCCACCCATAGGCTTTCACCGTCCGACTGAATGTTGCTTCTCCTACATCACACGAAGCATCCGGTGCTCCAACATGATTGATTACTTTGAAACCAGCAGTCAGTGCTCCTGGTCAGCTGTCATGTAAGTGCCACATTCTCCCGCCATGGCTGGGCAACTGGGAGCCTGCAGGGAGCACCTGGTGGGTTAGTGTCAACACAAGTCTCACCATAAGCACCCCGACAGGTGCTCCTTTTGGCTGCACTCATTCCAGTCTGTAATCTTTCCCTCCTTTCCACAGCTTTCGCACCAAGAGGGGACAACAAGTCTGTGCTGATCCCAGAAACAAGAAAGTTCAGGAATGCATGATAAACCTGAAACCGGACTGGGTGAACAAGAACTTGGAAACTATTGCACTTGCTAGAGCCTAGGCTCCAACACTCTCATGCCCTCAGGGTTCCAGAATAAACTCTTTAAAAATATATTCTTCTGTTAAGTCTTAAAATAACACATCTAATAAAGAGAATCATTTACTTGAATTCCAAGAGGAAAAAGAAACTACAGGGATTACTGAACACTGGATGCATGTTGTTTTCAAACAAGACTTCATAGCAATATCTTTTTTTAAAAAAAAAAAACCATTTATTTATTTTTATTGTAACAGATATACAGAGAGAGCAGGAGAGAAAGAGAGGAAGATCTTCCATCCAGTGATTCACTCTCCCAGTGAGTACAACAGCCGTTGCTATGCGGATCTGAAGCCAGGGGCCAAAAACTTCCTCTGGGTCACCAATGCGGGTGCAGGAACCCAAGGCTTTGGACCGTCCTCAACTGCTTTCCTAGGCCACAAGCAGGGAGCTGGATGGGAAGCGGGGCCACCAGGATTAGAACCAACGTTCATATGGGATCCCAGAGCATTCAAGGTGAGGACATAAGCCACTAGGCCACGGCGCTGGACCCCACAGCAATATCTTAAAAGCTAAAGTCATGACTCATTCAGATCAGGGGGGAAATACATCAAATATGTATTGAACCTATCAGGGATGAGGCTACTCAGATAATCATTGGGAGAATGGAGGCTGATGGAATTCACTGGGGAAGACACTCAGTAATGAGTTGGCCAAAGCAGAAGGCAGATACATAACCTGTGTACAGGGAAAGATGAAACTTGGAACCTTTAAATCAGTTAGCTAATGGTTAGAAATCACTTACCTCAGTGCTAGACAAAAGTTTGCAAGTTCACTTGTAGTTTCTGAAACCTGAGGTCTGAACCCTACCCGCTAGCACTTTGATCAGAAGGCAACTTGGAACCCCGCAACGACATTCCTGTGTGCCATTGGAAGTGTGCTGTCAGCCTTTCACCTATTTCCAAGGTCTAGGTGTTTTTCTTCCTAGATGTAAATGCTGAAGAGATTTCTCCTCTAAAATACATCAAGTAAACCAATTCAAAATGGGGTTAATATCAAATTTGCACACATCTTCATTAAAGCTGACACATATATATTTGCCATTAGTACATCTTGGTCAAACAACAACCCAGATTTCTAAACTACAGGATACTTTTGATTTAGAAATGAAGTTTAAAACCTATGCTTACTTTGGTGTGATCTGCCTAAGAAACAAAGAGAACTTGACAACCAAAGAAACTTTCTAACAACAAATTATACTCAGGAAACAAACAAAAAGAACTCTTGAGATAATTTTTTAAAAATCCACAGTTATAACATCCCCAAAGAGATTAAGCACAAATCCACACTGTCACATTCATTAAAATAGCTAATTTGGGGAGTTTTGAAAGAAGCTTAGAAAATACAGTGCTTTTTTCTTTTAAGGTTTAATTATTTACTTGAATGGCAGAGCCAGAGAATCAGAGAGAGAGACAAAGAGGGAGGAAGGAAAGGAGGAAAGAGAGAAAGTGGGCTCTTCCATCTAATAGGTCACTTCCCAAATGGCCACGCTAGCTGGGGCCGGGGCTGTGGGCTGTGCCCTAAGCTACCTCCAGGTCTCCTATGTGGTTGCAGGGCAGAACACTGGGACCTTCTGCACAGCTTTCCCAAATTATTAGCAGGAAACTGGATTGGAAGTGGAACAACTGGGCTTCTATCACGTTCCCACATGAGTTGTCAGCATTGCAGGTAGTACCAACCCTAAAAACAGTGTTTTTAACCACCATTTGCTCCAAGAACATATGTCATTTTGGTCTACTGAATATTTGACTAACAATAACCTCACTCAGAATCTTCTTTCCAAATTTTGGATTATTGCAAAAGTTAAAAAATTTTCTCGGCAGTATTCATTTCAGTGTTATCACTCTGCATCTGCACTTGCACATTCACACCACCTATAGTGTCGTATCCACCGCATCTTTAGACATTCTTCGAACATGATTGAAAGTTTACTAAGAGGGTGGATGTCATGGTAGGTGCTTTTTTAAACACACACACATCAAAACCTTGTCATGATTTAGTGATGGTGGTTGGTCCAGGGAGACATCAGGTAAACAACCATTGAAAACAGAATATGCTAGAGGTCCGTTAAGATGCCCACATCCCTCCTTGAATTCAGTCTCTGTTGTAGCTTGCAATTCTAGTTTCCTCCTATCACATACCTCAGGAGAGGCAGTGATGGCTCAAAAAGTTGAATCCCTGCCACTCCACATTGAAGATCTCTGGATTGAGATTCTGGCTGCCAGCTTCAGCCTGGCCCTGCCCCAGTTATTCCTGGGATTTGGAGACTGAACCGGTGGACAGCAGACCTTTGTCACCTTTGTCTCTGATATGATTAAAATGCAATTGCTAGAGAAAGAGAATCTGATGGATGCTATAGTAAATTGAAGGGATCTACCCACTAAGAATTAGTATTGCAGTCCTGAAAAACATATTCACTCTAAGAAATAAAAAGTCTAATAAGTGCTTTTTGAACTGTTGAATTAATAAGTAATAAATTATCATCACAATGGAAATTGGAGGATCCATGACTGCAAGAAGAACCCCACTCTGAAGGGCCTTCTAGAAACACAGACTTTGCAGCTAACCCTAACCGAGGAGACACCACTGGGAGATTCAGTGTGAGGGATCTCACAGCCAAGTTTACATGTTAGAGTCTCCCCTCTGGGGGACACCCCTGATTCTAGATTTGAGGTACATCAGGGCCCAGAACGGAATGTGTAGGTACTGATATGACCACTGATTGGAAAGATAGCCCATGTTCACCAGCGATGTGTCCTCATGGTGGGCTAGACTGATTGTTACCGGCTCATTCCCATCAGTTGAGATTCATAACATAAAGATGCAAATGGTCAAGTACCGTGTCCACTACAGCCCAGTGCTGAGCCACAGCCCCCATCCCAAGGTCTGAATCAGGGGTTCAGTGCATCTCTAGAGGGAAGACTCTTCTCATCTATGAGACATGCTTTCTCTGCCCATTTCTTTTTTTTTTTCAATGATTTCATTTCGTTTTGTGACAGTTTCATAGGCTCCGGGATTCCCCTAACCCTTCCCCTAGTCCCTCCCCCCATGGTGGATTCCTCCACCTTGTTGCAATATTACAGCTCAAATCCAGTCAAGATTCTTTCATTGCAGGCATGTGCCAAGCATAGAGTCCAGCCTCTTATTGTCCAGACACATTCAACAGTTTCTTGGGGAGACCATCTCTGATCTGAAGGCAAAGCTGGCAGGATATTATCCCAACCATTTAAAGCCCCAACACAACATCAACAACAATTTACAACATTATGGAGTTAACTGACATGATACTGAGTAACCAATATGTTAAAAAATACAGATTCTTAACCACACCCTGTGACTACTTGATTGTACTTGATTGACATTTCAGTTTTAGTTTATATATAATTGACTTCTATCCACCTTAAAATGGATATAGGGTACTACTATTCAGCTGCCTCATGTATATTTTCATTTTAGTATTTAGCAGTTTACAGTGTTGAAGCATAATTTTTACTGAACTTGGCAGATTTTAGGATAGTCCAAACTGGCTTATAACTCTAACAAGGCATATGTCAACAGCTGAGGTGCAGAAGAGTTTTAGGAAGGGTATGCAGAGAAATCTTCAATGTCTCTGCTCATTTCCACTCAAACCCTAGGAAATCCCACGTAATCTCTACTCCCTAATTCCTGCTGCGTTCTCTTCTTCTTCCCCTTTTTTTTTCTTTTAGAGAAACAACATTAATTATTAGATGACTATTAGATAGCAAAGAACAGCATATGTGACCTTTGTGCTGTGACTTCCTGCTTGCTCTCTTCTTATAAATACCTGGGGATTCAGGTAGCAGCAGTGAGGCCCGCAGCCCTTCTGCCCACTGGGAGGATGACACTCTCCATGACTGCCCTCTCCTTCCTCATTCTGGCTGCTAACCTTGGAGTCCAGGCCAGCAGCCCATTTGGTAAGTCCTGCCAGAATTCTTACTGGTGGCCAAGCGGGTGGTGACGTGGGATCAGGGGAGGATATGTTACTCTCTAGGGACAGTACCTCAAGATGGTTATGGAACTTATTCTAGATCAGCAGTGGAGTGTGGACTGCCTCTGTCTTTGCTCCTTGGGAAAAATGCAACACAAATTATGGTTCAGCTGCAGGTTCAGCTGCAGCTGGTGGTGAAGCCAGCATTCCGTATATGTGCCAGTTGGAGCCCTAGCTGCTCCAATGCCTATACAGTTCCCTGATAATGCACCTTGGAAAACAACAAGGATGGTTCAAATATTACGACCCCTGTCACCCACTACGGACACAGGATGGAATTCCAGACTAGTATCTTCAGCCTGGCCCAGACCCCTCTATTGTGGCCATTTGGGGAACAAACCAGTAGACCAGGGTTTTTCCATTCTCTCTTTATAACTCTGCCTTTGAAAAAAGTAAGCAAATATTTTTAAAAATTCCCAAGTGTCTTACTAGATGTTATTCAAGGAATGATCTAAAAATGCTGTTCCCTATTAAAGAGCTTAATGTAGTCCCCTTACTAAACCTATGAGGTTATAAAAGCTTTATAATTCAAAACTGTCTTGCTTTAAAAAATAGTAATAGTTAGACATAGCCTCACATCTCTGACAGAGCTTGCAAAGCATATAAAAATCCACTTAAGCAATATTTCTAGAGCAAATATACAAATATTTAAAGAAATTGAATAAATGTTAAAAATGGCTTCACTTCTCTCAGGGTGACACTGTGCTGATGACACTGTGTTGACAACACCGCGATTCCAGGGTCCTGTGAATCCCCACACTGTCATTTGCTCTAGACATCCCAGTAACATGTCCATATGAGATCTGAGATCCATGGCTAAAATTCAGAGCCAACACAATACATCCATCTCACAAACAGCTTCCAAAGGATTCTGAAAGCCCTCAGATAACTAGCAGGATGAAAGGGCATGAGAGCAGGTGTGGGACCCAGATGGAACTCAGGCCTCAGGCTTGGGGTGAGCACAAACTGGGACATTGCTGACTCCCACCAAGGTCTCTTCCCACTCTGTCCTTCTTTCAGGATCAGAGAATAAACCAAGTATCCAGACAGCTTCACTTCAGTCTGCTAAATATTGCTGCTACACCTACACCCCACGAACCATCCGCTGCGCCAACATGATAGATGGCTTTGAAACCAGCAGTCAGTGCTCCTTAGCAGCTGTCATGTAAGTGCTAAGCTCACCCACCCCATGCTGGGGATAGGCAGCCTGCAGGGTCTTGGGAGAGCACATGACAAGTGGTTGGGGTGTCCAGACAAGGCCCACCCCTGATACCCTGCGCCTGCTATTCTTAAAGGCAACAGCAGAACATCCAGAATGAGAAGCTCACAACAGAGAGAGGGGTCAGAAAAACGAGGGGGGGGCGGGGAATCAGGCAGAAGACAGTCCACAGAACCTCAGTGAGTCACCAGCGAGTCTCAGGGCTGAGGGAGGGTCTCAGAGAGGGAAAGCAGAGCAGGTTGGGTTGTGCTGGGTGGGGACTCAGAGGGGCAGGGAGGATGGGGCTCCTCTTCACATGAGATGCACACACCCCAGTCTCCAATCTTCTCCTGCTTTTCTCAGCTTCCACACTAAGGGGGGACAGGTGGTCTGCACCAACCCTGCACACAGTGAAGTTCAAGAATGTATGGCAGAGCTGAAGAGCCGAAACAACAACGTGTCCTATCTGGATAAACTGCCATCTTCAGGGCTGGCACTCAGAGGGGAAATGCTTCCAGATCCACCTGACAAAGTGCCTGGAAAAGCAGCAGATGATATCCCAAGTCCTTGGGCCTCTAAATCTCAGAGGCAGATTCAGAAGAATCCTCTGGTGTCTGGCTTCAGACTGGCCCAGCCCTGACAGTTGCAGCCACTTGGGGAGTGAACAAGTGGGTAGAAGATCTCTTTTCCTTCTTCCTGCTCTCTGGAACTTTGACTTTCAATAAGTAAATCATTTTTAAAATAAGTAAATACATAATGTTAAAAGGTCACCTGTGGCACAAGACACTATCCAAGGACTTTAAACAGAGATATTTCCTTAAGCTGAGATGGGAGTTCCCATCACCCCAGCTCCAACTCTCTCGCTCTAAACCTTCTCCTATCAGTTTCATGGCCTGAATTTAGTTTTTTCAGCAGTGTATTGTGGGGGTCAAGGTGGTACAGGCTAATGCTCTGCTGATAGCACCTGCATGCTCTATGGGCAAAACTTGAGTGCTAGATTACCAACCACATCTAATCCAATTCCCTTCCTAGAGCCTTGGAAGGCAGCCATGGAAGGCCCAAGTCCTAGGGCCTCTGCACCCACATGGGAGACCTTGAAGATACGCCTGGCTTTGGATCACTTCAGCTCTGGTATTGCAGTCCTTTGTGGAGTTACTGGTGGATGAAGATCTTCCTCTTTATATCTCTACAAATCTCTCTCTTCCTCTCCTCTTCTCTCTAAATCTGCTTCTCAGATAAAAGTAAATACATTTGTTTAAAATAATGAATTGCTCTGTTTTGGGTATAACATTAATGCATCTAATAAAGAATATCCAGCCTCATTTTACTTCAATGTTAAGTGGAATAGACTGAAAAAAAAAAAACCTGAGTGTATAGCTGAAATGATAAGACACAAGTTCATCTTATGTCTGTCTTTTTTACTCAAAAACTTAAACATGAAGCCTCAGCTACTGTTTCCCATCCAAGTACTAACCAGGATTCTCCCTGCTTAGCCGCTGAGATCAGGCACGTTCAGGGTGGTATTGCCATAGACAGCCTCAGCTACTGTTTCAAAAACAGTTTCTTTTCATCTGTCATTTACTCAAGTCACACCATGTTTTAGTTTACCTACTATGGGAACTGTTGTGCCAGACTTTTATATCCCCAGAAAATCATCAAGTCTGAAGTCGGTGCTAAGGCATAAAAGTGGTTTATTCAGGTTAGCCTAGTTCTCCCAGCCACCTTTCCCTGCCCAGTAGGGCTGGGCAGGGGAAGGGCAGCTGCGGCCGAGGCTGCTGCAGGAACCCCAGGGAAAAAAGGAGAGAGTGAGCCCTAAAGCCCCCCGGTTGAACAGCCAAGTGTTTTCATATATTTCAGGCTATTAATTATACAGTCATGATTTAGCAGGTTTCTATTGGTGGGTTTGAAGCAAGCAACTTCCAAAAATCACAAATTGATGAGCTATAGGGCAGTGGATCTTATCAAATACCAGGTACCACCTTCCTGAGGAGTAATCGGTCTACGTGACCTACCAGGTGTCCTGCCGATCTCAGGGCTAGAGTTCACAGCCCCTATCCAAGCCATTAAGGCAGGAATTACAAAAGGCAGAAAACATCTTGGTTCTTCAGAACCATCAAGATATCATGCAGATTTGGGGTTTCCAATAATTTTTCCTGTTCGATTCTCCTTCTATTTACCAAACAAGAAAACCAATGCTCACTTCCTGTCCTCCTGTGTTTGCACTTGCAAATTCATGTCAGTTGTCTCACAGCAACTCCATCTTAGACATACTCTTCAAGGACATGCTGAGTTCCTATTTCAGGTTACAGGAATATTTTCAGAACAGCCAGCAGCACTCACGTTAGGATTTCTACCTATCACATGGCTAGTTCACCAAACTTGCTTCCTTGTCCTTGAACTCATTCTTCACTATGCTCACTACAATCTGAACCACTTTCTACTGTACCAGATGACTGAGACGCTCCCCTGAAACCCTCGAACCAGGCAGGCACAATCGTTCTCAGGTTTAGCCAATCTGGTTCCTCCTTGCTGACTTTTGAGCCTGGTGCATTTGTTGAAAAAAAAGCAGAAGTGGAGGGTACTCCACCCAGATGACACTGGGTGAGAGGCAGTGGCAGGGCCCATTTCCTGTGACCACAGTTCACAATTAGCACTTGTTTGAGCAGCAGAATTGGCAGCATCCATGCTGCTGGCTCCAGGGCAGGATATTGGCTGTGGCAAAAGTGCTGCTTTCTCTTAAGTTTCTACATACATCATTGCAATGAATTATTTTATCTTTTTAAAATTCATCAGAGTCAATTTACTGAGTCTAGCCCATGGACACAAATAATGAGCTTTCTGAGACTCTAAAGAAAGAAAAACTTCCATCTTTAAAGTTGAAAAACAAATAGTTCAGCTAAATGTAAATGGCCAGGGCCCGGCGTGATGGCACAGTGGTTAAGGTCCTCGCCTTGCACGCCTGGGATCCCATATGGGCGCCGGTTCTATCCCGGCAGCCCCGCTTCCCTTCCAGCTCCCTGCCTGTGGCCCGGGAAAGCAGTTGAGGACAGCCCAAGGCTTTGGGACCCTGCATCCACGTGGGAGACCCGGAAGAGGCTCCTGGCTTCGGATCGGCATAGCATCAGCCGTTGCGCTCACTTAGGGAGTGAATCATCGGATGGAAGATCTTCCTCTCTGTCTCTCCTCTCTGTATTTCTGCCTTTCCAATTAAAAAAAATAATAAAAATAAATCTTTTTAAAAAATGTAAATGGCCACATTCATAATCCTTCCAGCACTCCATGCAATACAGTATTTCAAAGCCAATTTACTTCTTATTTCTTTGAGAGAAAGTTAGCAAACAATCTTGCAATAGACTTTCTGGCACTTGTTTTGATTTTCTTGGCATCTTTTTAATTGAGATATTCTATCAGAACCTGCCTAAAGGTGTCTTTTTCATTACCTTGTTAGGTTCTGAATTTGTCATTCTTGGGGAGATAGAACTTGCCTATCTGCTGATTCACACCTCTCATGTCAGCTACTTCTGGAGCTGCCTGGGTCTAGCATCAGGGCCAGGAACTCAATCCATGGTCTCACAAATGGGTGGCAAGGACCTAATCTTTTGGTCCTCACCTGATGCTTCTCAGAGTCCACCAAAACAGAAAGCTGGAATCAGAAAGTAGACCTGAGACTCAAACATAGACACTCCAACATGGGACACAGGCATCTGAACCAGTGGGTCCAATGCCCAGCCCTCACAAGGAGGGTGAACCCCTCCTTAGAGCAATGTAAACATGCATTCCAGGCCATTCATGTGCAGGTGGGCCTAGGCCCTTGCTGAGCCATGATATTTAAGGGTCTGCTGGTTTACCAACAGGCAGGCCAGCTGCTAAATCCTGATAGAGGAAGAGTGTCTTTCTGTGTTTCTGTCTTTCAGAGATGATGTTCTTTTTCCCTTAGGACCTTGGCACAACTCAGAGTAAGATGTCCTCAGTGGTAAGATGGGGGGAGTGTTTAGTCTGGCAGGTAAGATTCAGTCAAGATGTCATCCCCTGGGCCCTGCGTGACAGCCTAGTGGCTAATGTCTTTGCATTGCACGCACTGGGATCCCATATATGGGTGCTAGTTCATGTCCTGGAGGCCCTGCTTCTCACCCAACCCCCTGCTTTGACCTGCAAAAGTAGTCAAGGACAGCACAAAGCCTTGGGACCCTGCATCTGCATGTGAGACCCGGAAGAAACTACTGGCTTCTGGTTCCTGGTTACTGGCTTCCTTCTGAAGCTTGGTTACTGACTTCAGATTAGCTCAGCCTTGGCCATTGAGGCCACTTGTGGAGTCAACCCATGGGTGGGAGAGCTTCCTCTCTGTCTCTCCTCCTCTCTGTATATCTGACTTTCCAATAAAAATAAATAAAATCTTAAAACAAAAAGATGTCACTTCATATCAGAAAGTCTGGGTTCCAGACGTGGCCTTGCCTCCTGAATTCATAGCTTTCTGCCACTGCACTCTGAGAGTAGTTGAATCCTTGCCACCCATGTGAGAGATCCAAACTCAGCTTCCCATGGCTGGCATTGTCCAGCCCAGCTCCTTTCCCAATCATTTCCTCCCATACAAGTGTTGCCTGCCTTAGAGTAAAAGTAATAGATAAAACCTCATTAAAATAAATATGGCATTTTGAACAGAGAAAAAGTTAAAGAAAGACAAGACCATTTCTGGTATTTAGAATAAAACAGTCATTTTGGTAAGGAAGTGTGGCACCTGTCAAATGACTCTACCTAACTCATCTAAACTTTTAATTTTTTACCTAACATATATCAACTTATTTATTTGAAATGCAGAGTGTCAGTGAGACAGAGCTTTTGTATTCACTGGTTTACTTCCTGATTTTTGCAATAGTCAGGGTTGGTGCAGGCCTAAGCAATGTGTCCCATGTGGGTGTTATTGGTGTCCTTTTCTGCTGCCTTCCCAGGAGCATCAGCAGAGAACTGGATTAGAAGTACAGCAGCTGGACTAACCTGGAACTCCATGTGGGTTACTAACATCGCAGACAGCAGCTCAATCCACTGAACCGTGATGCTCACTCAATCATTCTATTTCTTTTTCTTAAGATTCATTTATTTTTAATGGAAAGGCAGATTTACACAGAGGAGGAGAGGCAGAGAGAAATATCTTCCATCCACTGTTTCACTCCCCTAATGGCAACAATTCCCAGATATGAGTCAATCCTAAACCAGGAGCCAGTTGTTTCTTCCCGGTCTCCCACATGGATGCAGGGTCCCAAGGCTTTGGGTCATTCTCCACTGCTTTCCAAGGCCACAAGTAAGGAGCTAATTGGGAAGTGGAGAAGCCGGGACACAAACCAGAGCCTGTATAGCATCCTGGCTCTTACAAGGAGAGGGTTAGCCAATAGAGCCATCATACCAGGCCCTCCATCATTCTCTTAAGCTAAAAAGTGCAGATCTTATACTATTAAGTGCCTTAAAGATGATTTCTTGTAACAAACCTACAGAACTAAGTGTTAGATCCATTTTTGGCATAACATCAGGAATTATACAGAGGTCTATGTACAATTATTAACTTAATTTTCAAAATGAAAAAACTAATCATAGATACTTTAGATAACTTTCTTAACATCTCACAGTATGTGGTAGAGGTAGATGTGAGTCAGGTAGGAAATCATTGAGGGGCACCAGTGTCACGGTCCAAGAAATCCTGATGTTTTCACTTCAGATCCATATCCCTGTTAATGGACGTGGGAGGGGATGGGAGGTTGGCCCAAGTGTGTGGTCCCAGCTGCCTATATGGGACACCAGGATTGAATTTCTAGCTCCTCGTTTCAAATTGACACAGCACTGGCTATTGTAGTCATTTAGTGAAATTAATCAGCAGAGAGAAATTGTCTCTCTGTATCTCTTTCTCTCCTATTTTCTCCCTCTCTTCCTCTTTCCCTGTTGCTCTGTCATTAAGTAAAACGAACAAATAAACCTTTTGAAAAGCTACAATGGTGGGCCGGGTGCAGTAAACTAGGAGCTAAAATTCTCGCCTTGCATGCACCGGGATCCCATACGGGTGCCGATTCTAATCTCAGTGTCCCTGCTTCTCATCCAGCTCCCTGTTTGTGGCCTAGGAAAGAAGTCAAGGATGACCCAAAGCCTTGGGACCCTGCACCGATGTGGGAGACCCAGAAGAAGCTCTTGACTTTGGATCAGTTTCACCCTAGTGTTGCAGCCACTTGGGGAGTAAATCAGCAGATGGAAGATCTTCCTCTCTGTCTCACCTCCTCTCTGCATAACTGACTTTCCAATAAAAATAAATAAGTGTGCAAAAAAAAAAAAGCTAAAATCACAACT